GCAAGGAAACAGCACAGTGTACATCACAGGCTGAGTGAATGTTACTGTACTCCGACACAGGGCTAATGAAGAGATATGTCCTCCATTACGCAGTGATATTCCTGCTGCAGCGATTAGAAAAGTCTCCAGAGGGGCTCCATCACGGGCTTTCATTGAGTCTGGACCTTTGCAAATCTTCATATCCTGCACAATTTTCATAAATTGAAGTCTAATGAGCGCATTTGACATAACTAGGATTTATTGTCTCAGAGGCTTACCAATTTCACCACTGCACTGCAAATTATGAATGTCAAGGGTTTAATCATATCCATACATATTCTCAATAAGGGGGATGTGATGTGTCATGTGAGTAAAAGACTTTAAATGCCTCTCTGCTGTTATTGTAGGTGTGTTATGATAATGCATGCAAACATGCAGAGCCCTAACAACCTCCCTGAGGTGGGCCGATATTGTTGACGCTGAGCACAGAGCAATATCTTTCTACGGATCTCTCTGGGACTCGGTTCATGGGGCTGTGGCACAAAGCTTACAACTACTGTGCCATCAAGAACACGATCAAAACAACAGCGCTGGTAATGTTGTGTTCTTCATGTGCAGCTTTGTAATATAATGTGGTGATTGATTTTGAATTTTTCATCATGCTGCAGGTTGAACCATTGATATTATTAGCAGCAGAACAGGAAGATGTAATCTGCAACCCCACTTTTGTTGTTAAAAAAAAGAAAAGAAGAAAAGAAAAAGCGCAGCGCTCTTTTATGCTGATAGTTTTATTACTTCACAAATTAGTTTTAGACATAATTGCATTTCCTTTGTGAGATATTAGAGCAGCTTAAACTGAAGCATGAGAGGGAGGGAGGGGCTGTAAAACTGAACTGCTTTTTTCACAAGTTGAAACCAACGCGCGACCCTTCATTAAGCTTCACATCTTCTCCCAAAGTCCATGACCACTCCAGGAAAGTGACGGGTCAATTTTTCAATTAGCTTCCCTTTTCACCTCAGGAACTATCAAAGGGGTCTGCTGTTGAGCTCCGGATTGCGATGGATGGTGTACAACAGAACCTACAGTGCTCGGCCATTGAGAGCAAAGCGAGCATTGATAACAGCCCTTAGAACTATTGACATGATAACATTTCTGTCTGCTGGGCCACACTGGCACTGAGCTACAATAAATTGAGATGAATGATCAGTAGATGACAATTTCCATAATCGTTATACCTTCCGTAATTCATCAAGGTAATGATACCCGCGCCCCTAATGTCACATTTATTCCATTTTGTGCACAGCGGCAGGCAGAAAACGAGCATCCCCTCCTCCTCAGCCCCCTTCCGCAAGGATTGATTACAAACCAACTGCTTTCTGCTCCTGCTTGTGAGTGGAAGAGCAATGTGTTATTTGACCCAAAATAACAATGAAGAAGATGGGAAATGCAATCTAAATCCACTCATTCAACCCCCCCCCCCCCCCCCCCCCCCCTTCTTGCTGCTAGTGACAGGCAACCAGGAGGCCATTACAGTTCAGCTCTGGCACCATCCCTGAACCAGAGGGGGAGAAAAAGGGGGGAGAGAACTCTCGGTTTCCTGGCTCACGTCGAGATTCATCATTATCACATCTCTCGCCTCCTCTTTCCCCCTCCATTCATTGATGACGTAGTTCCTCTTTGACAATTATGTCATTATCGGTGAACAATAGCAGTGTGAATGAGTGCTGTGATTCAATTACAAACGCAGTCATTCAAGATTATTTCCTCTCTCTCTCCCTCCGTACGAAAAGCACGCTACTGCAGACGTGCATAAGCACACCTGACAAAAACAACAGCTCCGTTCACAGAGGGGGTAACTGAGGTTTAAGAATTTTTCAAAAATGTAATGTGTTGTCTGCTCAGACCTCTGCTACTCCTCACCTCCTCTTCTCCTTTGCAGCATGCCAGTCTGTCGATAACGGTGAGGTTGCGCTTTCATCTAAATGCATTTCCAAGAACTCGGGAGAGGCAGGCCGTTAGATAAGCCGAGCACCGCTAATGTTTACTTCTCATTTTGCATTTACGGACTACAGTTTCAAAATCAAATTGAAAATAAAAAAATAAATAAATACGTATTCTTGTTATAGCAGCAGAATAATGTGGTTACTGAAATGCTTGACTTAATCTGAGATTAATTGAACTAACAGTGAGACATGAACAATTTCCTAATTTCTCTGATTTCTAATGGCTTGTGCATAATTTTATGATTGCACTGCTCTGAGAAGAAGAGAGTTGTTGCATTTTTATCACATTTATTCCCTCGGCTGACTTTAATATTTTTGAGTTGGACACAACAACTGGAAAAGCGCTGTATTTTTGCAGCACTAAACAGAGTAATGTTTCAGTTCTGAGGCGTGCACTGTGAAGTGAGATTAATGTATTAACCTGCTACGTTGAGCTGAAAGAGTTTTCAGTGTCACAAATTTGAACCTTGCAGGATCACCATGGTAACATAGTGAACTCATAACCTGCTCCGGAGCAGTTTGTGTTTAGAGTTTCAGATGAAATTGTGTGAAAAATGTGCCACCCATTCCATGGTTCATTTTCTGATGAAAAACCAAATAGAAGCATCTGATAGAAAACAACACTGTGCATATAGTCAGGCAGAAGTATAATGCTGATGCTTCGTGCAGGGACTGATTTAAAAGTGTCTGAATAATGTTAAAGAGGTAGAGCGGTCAAAAACGGAAAGACAATGAAAAAGTTAAATGATCATCTTAGATACAGCTAGCAAACATGCTATGGAAGTTTTTCAAATGCTGACCTTGAGTCTGGAAGATCAACACAAATATTATGTGTGTTTCGTTCTTTAAACACTTGGTCCAGGCCATTGTCAGTTGCTGTCCGGGCAGACCCCCAGTCCTCTGGATCTGTTACTCCTATGGGATGGTGGTTTGGTAGCCTGCCCTTCTGTTTGGCTCATGGGTCTCCGGACCAAAAATAATGAGTTTAAGTGAACAGGGCACATATGTTGTGCTTCAGTTTAAATGATAATCATGTGTTTCAACTATGTCTGTCATGTACCTTGAGATTTATTTGGTTGTAAATGTTCAAAAGATCACAAATCAGACATTGCGTGTATGACATCACCACAGAATCTCGTCCCCCAGCGTAGCTGCTACTTGCCACATGGCCAGATTTATAGTGGTTTTCTCCGTGTGTAAGGCTCATTCCATCGTCCAGGAAGAAGGGTGTGATGCTTGCTAAACTCCCGGCCGTTTTCCTTCTCCTCTTCTCTGTGTCTGGTGTGATGATGTCAGTTTGGCGGGACGAGCAGTTGGAGTTCTCCACGTCTTTTCACACAGAAAACAACATTTATCGGCTCATACACTCTCATTCATATTTTGGACAGTAGTGGAAGTAGATGGGTGTGACTTGGGCTCCTCATTCAGTTATACTCCAATAACAACAACGATTTAGAAGTTTCAAATAACTTAAAAGCAAAAAGCAGAGACATAGTACAGAAACACACATAGGCCTGGACCCTTTGAAAAGCCACAAGTAAGGTCATCCAAAAAAGGTGATTTCTGAGTACATCATTTGTAATAGCTCATACGCTCAGCCCTCCTATTCAGTGGATCAGCTTCTATGTGTTGGGACAGGCAGAAGCCATGTCTAAATGATCATACATGTGAATTTAATTGAGTGTTTGAGCTTCATCTGATGTGAGTGCAATGAAGAGAACAATCAATTACAACCTTTAACCCTCTGGAGGCAGGCATTGCAGATTTGCAACGTTAAAACCTACCTACCTGGTTGCTCCACAAACGTGTTTCATGAGCATTTTTTAACTCAGAAGTACCCCTGAAGGACTTTGTTGTCCGTCCTTTTATCAAAGCTTATTTTGAGCCTGAGAGGGTTAAGACAGGACTTTGTCCTCATAGTCTGATTTAAGCTGAAGGCCAAGGGAAGTGACCAGGACTGAAATCACACAAATGATCTACAACCTTTTTCTTGTTTTTTATTTATTCTGGTTTTGTTTTATCCATCGTTTAAACAAATGATTTATAGTAGTTTTAACAGAAAAACCTCTTTTTAATACCAGAGCTCACTAAATAATTCATGATCCTCAGCAGGAGGAAAATAATAAGTACACTATTAAACTCTAACAACCACCTTTGTGCATATTTTTCCTACTTTGTGCAAAAACCAAAGAAAAACCTCAGTTTTGTTTCACGTTATCAAAGAATCCATAAACCCCAAATTCTGTTAAGGTTGTTTATGTGTTAATAAGTTGCACAAATGTGTCCAGAAATCTATAAAAGCGCTGATATTGGATCTAATAAGACTTTTAAAACTAATTAGACAGTCTTTATGTCAGATAATATTCAATTAATAAAAGTAGAATTTCATTTGGACAGTCATTTTCTTTGGATTACAGAACAGAGTGAGAGCTAAAGCAGACTGCAGACTTAACTCAAAAATTAAAGATCTTGGCACAATGGAAACAAGAGGAATATTCTTTAATTTAATATTTGCACAATTTTCTGCAGCCCTTCTTTCTTGCCTTATTATTTTATCTGCCTTATTCCGCATGGATGTTTACATTCAGCCATTCTTATATGAATGAAGGGGGGATCTGTGTATTTTGTGCACAAAAATCACAAAACAGTGGGTAAAACATCCCTTTTTATACAAACATGAGAGCCTGAAGAGGAATTCTGGCTCAATAAAGCAAAGATCATAACGGCTGTGGTGGAGCCTGTTATCTCTGAGTGAAGGTTAACCTTTTGTCGAAGCAGCTATCACAAAGAAGGCTCTGCTGTGTTGAACTTGCTTCGTTTAGATTGCCGGAATCACAATTTGGTGACATAGTTACCATGGTGTGATTCTATAGATTCTTAATAAAAGGGTATGCCATTTAAAATGATACTTTAAACAAACTTTAATTCCAAAACTTTTATAGTCCCCCCCCCCCCCCCCCCCCCCCCCGAACACGAGACAAAGAAAACTAACATTGTTCAGAAGGGAAAAAGTGGAAATAAGGATGTTTGGCAGGCTTGCCAGGAGAAAGGACTTGTTGTTATTCTTGTGAAAACAGTTGCTGAGTGGTTTGCGCTGCATTATGTGCAGAGAATTCACACCACTTGTTTACAGATGTCACGCAGGTCCTCAGAATGCAATAGCTGAGTTGTCAGCGCCAACAACCCTGCCTGCTCACAATGATCCAAAAAAGAAAGAAAAAAAATTTCCCTTAGGGTTCCTGTTTTCTTCTCGTAGTAAAGTTCAACCAGGATGTCTCATTAAGCCGCAGCATCAAATGAGAGTGGCTTCACGGCCTGATTGCTTTACAGAGCACGTCTTGCAAACTCCTACATACCTCACTGTGTCTTTATTTTGATTTTCTCTTTTCAAACTAATTATTATTATTATCAGCTAAATCAGATTTTTACATAAGATGAAATAACATAACTGTACGTACAACAACAAGTCAACAAGTTGTATTATAAATATTCTAACAGCTGTAAAATTCCCTTCAACTCCCTCCACCATCCGAGAATCTGATAAAAAACCCTAGAAGCACGAGAGGCTGCGTATGCAGCATGTTTCCCTAAGGCTCAAACACTCACTTCAACACTTGATAGGCACAGTATTGATTTACATCTGCAAATCCTAAGCCCGACTGCCAATATGAAGGAATCCAGATCGAAATCAGTCATGATGGACAAGTCAGATCCCCCACCAAAAAAAAAAAAAAAAAAAGAAATGAAAAAGTAGTCATCCCAGGAGCCACTTTAGAGCCGCTGAGGAATCAACATTCCCACTAAAAACAGCCAAGCAATGAGAGCTTAAGTTTACCATTAAGAAAAAAAAAATAATTATCTCAACATCTTTCCTAGATGAGAAGAACTTTCCCAGCAGCTTGGTTGAGCACTACAGAGGGCAAAAGCAGCAGGGAGTGGATATAATTGAGCTGAAATTGGTCTCCCATGGCAAGGATACTTTGTTCAATCTCAGGCGCTGTAGTGATTGGACGATCATTTCTCCCTCATTCCTTTTTCCTGGAAAGAGGTTTAAAATACGAAAAAAATAGAACCATCTTTTTAAGTTGCCTACGATCAAATATTTGATAGAAGACATAATTCCAGCCTTAAGGGATAACAGGATAACAAGACACACAGCAGACCTGACTGCTGCGACTATTAACCGATACCGTTACGTCAACAATTCTTCACACATTTACAGGCAGAACGCTTTGGTTTTTTAGCCCAACGTTTGCTGCATATAAATGAAGCACAGCCTAGAAATGAATGTTTGCGACTTTAGACACACGCGTCCAGACGTGAACGCTCATAAAGCAGAATACAGGAGCGCTCTTTAGCGACGTGTTGTCCTGAAACACACCTAATGTTCTTATATGAAGCAGAAAATCAAACGAGTTGTAATGTTTTCTGACCTGAACCGGTGTTTGAAAAGAATAATCAATTCCTAAAGCATCTCTTTTGGATCAATATGGGCATGAGGGGGAGCAGAAAGTTGAGCAAGCAGGGGGCTGCAGGTGCTTCTGAAGATACAGCGTTTCATTTTTTCTTTCAAACAGAAATGAGGGGAGCTTTCTAAATAAGGATCCTGATCTCATTCTGTTTCATTTGTTTACACTTCTAAATGACAGCTATCGTAAGCATAGTTTCAGCCAGAAAATATGACTTTCACCATGAGATCAACCTTTTATCAACTGTTCTGTTTAGGGTTTGACTCGGTTTTTATCAGCGTGTAAAGGGTTTTGACAGAACAAAATCCACGTCTACAAGCTGTTTTCATGGTGCCATGATGATGATGAGTAATGAAGTGACATATACAGTAGGGTCTAACTAAAACACATGCCTTTGATACATTTTATAATCTGGATTCAAAGGATTAATACTCCCTCCCACTGAGCGTGTTACATTGTTATAATTACTTTGCTATGCCTGGTGCATTCTGGGATAAACTCTGATGACACTGTAGCATAAAACATTCTGAAAATAACATAAAACACTATGTATTCCAACATAAATAGCTGTGATTGCATTATAACCCACAGCAGATTATGTAGGCAGTTTTAGTCACAGGTCAATTTAAAGAAATTGTGGAAGCATTTGGCTGACGGGCTTTTGTGTTTGAGCCGCAACACAGAAAACTATTACTTACAAAAGGTACAAAATTAAAACCCTCACAAATCAGAAAGTAATGAAATATACAAATTTTCTGGTATTAAAAACACAAACTAAGAATCATGCAAAAAATTCTGTGCAAGTTCACTGATTTGCAACTAAAATCAACGTAACTTTTATCGTGACTTTCTCTTGTAGTTTAAAAAAAAAAATTGACAAGTCTTAAAGAAATATTGGCCACGTTCTTTAAAAGCACTTCAAAAGGAGAAAATCCTCACATCTGCACTGCCTGAGCCACAGAGGGAGACAAGAATTGATCAGGTTGAAGGTGGCCGAAGCAGAGGAACCGTGATCAGACGAAAGAATGTCAATCACGCCGCGCAGCAGCCATGTAATCCTTGTGGGACTGTTGCAAATCAAGCCTGGTTTGATCAGTCCTGTGTGACAACTGCTTGTCAGGATAAACAAATTTGCTTTGTCCACATGCAAATCTGCCTGAAGCCATCTTGACTTTGTGCTGCGATTGTTGTGAATGGCACAATAGACCTGTAATGGGAAGAAAACTGTGGCCCTCTCTAACTTTAGTGTTTTCAGTTTAAATTCGTTTTGAAAATGTGTAGAACAGAGAATTTTAATATTGTTTTTTTTTTACTGAACATTCAACAGTTAATGAAAAATAGTCTTTGTGCTGACATAAATTTAGTTTTGGTACACATTTAAATTCCATTACTGTGTTTTGTTGGGTCAGTGGAATACTATAAATGTCTTTGTGAATCCAGCTAATGACTCATTAGGCTCCTATACAAAAAATAAAGTTTCTTGTTGTTTCTTTCTACTAAAAATCTCGGCATATTTGCAAAACAGTCACATCACACAGACAATCTGAGGAAGACAATCTACATGCTTGACTGTCTGATTCTCAGGGCGCTCATGCACAGCAGAGAGGGAGGGTCCTACCAAATACATTCACTCAAATGTTTAATTAAGTAGACTTTTTTATTTTTATTTTTTTTGCAGCTGCATTGCTTTATATTCACATTATGTATCGTTTTGGATACAATTTAAATAAAAGGCAACATGTTCAAGTTAAGCTAACTGTTTACATCCCAGACCCAAAGAAAAGCACTGTTTATTTTTCTTCTTTGATATTTTTCTATCATTAGTTGCAACAATAACAGTTAAATATTTTATTCAGGCAACAGTGTGATTTTTATATATTTTTAAATACTACTTCAATTATTTTTTGTTCCCACAGTTTAATAGTATTCATAGTTCATGCTTTAATCCAGGGGTCGGCAACCTGTTCTCATCAAAAAGCCATTATTACCCGTTTCCCGCAGTAAAGAAAACACTGGGAGCCACAGCAGCCGCTGCGTTGTGGGCGGGGCCTACCCTCAGACAGCAGAGCGCTGCTCACAACAGGTGACAGCAGCCAGTACCGGTCGCTCGTGTACGTCAAAGTTATCTTTCATAAGAAGATAATCAATAAAATGATTTATATAAAGTGGATCCAGAAGTTGTAGCTGGTCTCTGCTACAATATGTTAATATTTTTCACCCTGTTGGTGATTTTACTGAGCAGGTGCCACTTTTGCCATACATTTCTTTTTAAAACATGTTTAGACTGTTCAGAATACAAATCCAGGCTCTGTCACGTTTGATTGTTGTTATTAAACTTTGTAGGTGGGGAAGGTCAGAAAAGGATCCGATCAATTTGTTTTTCCCTCATTTACAGTGACGGAGATAACGGCGCAGTGCGCCTGGCTCTGGTGTTAATCAAGTTTAATTTGATCTCTTTGCAACAATTTTCACAAGAAAACAGAACAGTTAAAAGCAGAGCTTGTGTTGACCGGATAGTTCCCGTATTTGGCCGTTTATTTTGACAGAGAAAGAATAGAAAGAATTACCCCGACGCATACAGACGAACTGACATTTTATTCGTTACGCACATCGCAGATGTAGCTAAATCACTCAAGAAAAGATTCCCATCTGAACATCTGAGATGGACACTGCTCAGCGCAGCTCGCTGTCAGCGTGTACAGCGCGTATGTAAGGTGCACAGCGAGCTGAAGATGTGGAGAGGGGCTTGGAGCACGTCGCAGAACCAGAGCGCATGCAGGAAGATTCCTCCGACTGAAGCGAGTGTTTTCGAAACCCAATGTCTCAGAGAGACTTGTCACTTAGAAAATGTTCCCTGATTACGAAACTTTGGCTGAATAGTGCTTGTTCCTGTCTCCAATGTGGTGACACATCCAGGAGCCATCTGAGGAGAATCCCAGAATCTGACATCGTCTTCAGCTCAGAAAGCGCTTATATGATTACGCACAAGCGTGACGCGTCAACCCGGTCTCCCAGTAAGACCGGGTTGGAACTGTTCAGGTTTAAGCAGACAATCTTTACATTTAGAATTAGCATACAGATGTAAAATTAATGCAGTAAAATATAAAGCATTTTATTTAAATATCCATTCGTTATTTTACAAGCACAGAGAGCCGCATCAGATGGATGGAAGAGCCGCATGCGGCTCCAGAGCCGCGGGTTACCAACCCCTGCTTTAATCAAAATGAAAGGGCAATGGCCACTATAGGTTTAGACCCACTCCATTAAATAAACAGTTTTAACATATTATTGAGGCATTTTTCTAATGCTACAGGATACATCTAAAGAAATTTAAGCTCAACATTGTATTTCTGCATTCAAACTGCTTCAAAGGTGAAATATTGGCTAGTTAATAGACCAATACTAGGTGTAGCAGAAAATCAGTTTTGAAGTTTATTTGACCTTTGGAAGATTTTAGCGTAACCTATGTGGATCTGATTACCAGCAATACGATGTTTCAGTGTCAGCTTAGTATCTTTACAAGGACAATGACCTGCAACCAACAGGGAACTAGCTAGCTTGAAGAGCAGATAGAATGCTTTGTTAACAGACGAATAAAGCTTTGTAGAATTTCTTTTCTTTATATAGGGTATATAACACTCTTAAACTCAGTCAGTGTTAGATCTCATTGATTAACTCACTTTAAAGCTGAAAACGCATTATTTTTTGTTTTGTGGTCTTTATTTATTTAATCAGAAACTTGTGACCTCACGGAACATGTTTATTCTGCAACACTAAATTTATTTTAAAAAAGCTCCAACCATGCGGCTGAGTTGGTTGTTCAACTGAATGACATTTTTTCATGATAAATTCATGGCAGTGGCAAGGCCGAGTGACTCTCGGGACATGGGTTAATTTGTCAGGAGGCCTGCTGAGCTTTGAGTGGAGTAGCAATGACAGAGCAGAATGTCACCCTTCAGTTGTAGAAGAGAAAGAAATAGGTCACGCCTTGACTTTTTCTGTAGCTGTCAAATTTTAAACCAAAGACAAGCGCTGCTCAGTGGTGCAACGTGGAGGTTGGCTTTGTTTAACAGCGTTTCATCTAGACAATGTAGAGTTCTTTAATTCGGATCTGGCTTTGTTGACGCTTGTATACAAACTAGCAAGAAAAGACACGAGTGGCTGATCAGAAGACGTTAATTATGTGAAGGGAAATTCTCCCTCAGAAGTGAAGGTTAAAACCAGCTGCTTCAAACAAAGTTTGAATGAAAAAGGACCTCAACCTCTAAAGAGGATGATTGAGTAGGCCTTTTATGGCATTATTCTTTCACCTTTGTAAAATTTTTAATAAAATATTTTCACAACTCTGTCAGTCCCTTTCAAATTTCTGTCTAAACACTAAAATTGCAGTTTTAAAACGACAAGATAATCAGTGAGCGTGGCAAAATGTATTGTTTGTATCTCTGATGCAATGGGATAAATATGTAACCTTGTGTCCATTTACAAACTCACGAAAATACAAACAAGAGTCAGACATGCTATGTCTGTACAAACATTGAGTGAGAAAGCCCTAAAAGTGAATCCCTTTGTTGTGAACTTTGTATTTAAGAAATAGTCTGAAAAATTAGAAAAGAAATGAAATCGCACAAAACCATTTGAATTTATTAGAAAAGACCAGATTTTCTTTTCTGCCAAACAACCTGGAATCCTGGCCTTTATGTCAGTCATACCCCACCATCGGTTTCCTCTCAGCAGGACAGTGCATCCTGCCTGTCAGCAATAAACTGAGAAACATGACAAACAGGCCCTGGCATTGGCCTGATCACACCGAAATTGGGCACCCACGTGTTGCGTGAAACTAACTCTACCAGCCCATGTTGTACAATGCCGACACCACCCTGCCAAATGGCATCATGCCCCCACAGGTTAAAGCTGCTCCTAAGCATTACAGGATCCACAACCAGGGCCCTAAATTGAGACACGTCTGCATCCTTCGAAGGACCCAGCCTCCTCGACCGACGTGAGCTGGGTCCTCCGTCGGCCGAGTAGACCGGATGTTAACGGCTGTGAATTTGGACAGACCTAGCCTTCATGAATTCCCGCCACTCCCTCGGCGAACGTTCCGTCACCTAGCAACCGTGGAACCGTTGAGCAGAAGGGAGAAGGAACTTTAAATGATGGAGCTCAAAGTTTTAATTAGCTTTTTAATCATTTCCTTGACTGTTGGAGAGCTAATTCAGAGAAAATACTTTCGACAAGCTGAGCCTGAGCAAAGATGTGATAATAGTTTTTAATACTTTCTAAGGGTCTTAATTTGACCAAAACCGATTTATCACCTTTTAAGACTTTTCAAGACCCAGCGGATACCCTGTAATATTAAACAATTCACTTTTGTAAACAAAAATAAAATTCAAGTGTTTAATGCAGAACTGATTTTATTTAGATATTTATTTTATACGTACATGTTTAATCTTTCTTAACCATTTTTTTCTAGCAAAGTAAAAAGCTGTCAAAATTCTCCCTTCTCTTCTGTGCCCTCTGCTGCTCTGCCTCCCTCTGCAGCCTCATGTCCTCCCTGATCAGCTCCCGAAGCTGGTCATCGCTGTCACCTTCCCCTGGATGCCCATTTTCTCCAGAATAGTCTTAACAAACATGTAAGAAAAGAAACAGGAAGAGAAAAGAGGACAACGGGTTATTCCTTTCATGTTTTTGCAGAAAAAAATAAACTTAAACAACAGTTTTTAAAATATGAGATGTTATTGTACCTCCATGCGACAGCCGCCGAATACTTTGCTCCAGTGAACATGTGGTCCATCTCCGCCCTAAGCTTGATAAATTCCCTGGTTTTCTCTTTTGTTCCTAAAATACAAACTCCTATTAAAAGCAGGGGGAAAACGTAGCGGGAGAAGTACAACACCGAGTGGCCGAACATACGAGCCGAGACCGCAATACAAGCACTTTTACTGCAACATTTCTAACTAAAATAACGTTCATGTATCACAAAAAGTCCTTAACCTAATAGTTTTCAAGTTTATACTGACATTTATATGCACAATCCTCTCTGACAGCTCCCGCTTCACTGTCCGCCATTGTTTTTAAAAGTTCTGCCATCCGGCTTGCAAGGCATCTTGGGAAATGTGAACCATTGAAGGATACACTGGACCCATCCTTCTTGCAGCCGAATAGAAGGCCGGATTTGTCAACCGCATTTGAAGGAGTCTTCGAATTGGGACAGGCCTGGTCGCGGCGCTGTGACGTAACCGGCCGACGAAGGATGCAGACCCTGAATTGAGACACAGCCAGCGATTGGCTTCATCTTGGTCAGCTGATGTGCCAGTCAATAAATGATTGGCTGTCGAGGTGGAGCTGATTCTGGAAACTTCTGTAATCTGTGGAAAATCGCCATCGTTGGGTTCAATAACCAGAGATGGATTATGAGCTCACAACTTTTGATGGCCTTTCTACACTGCCGACGGAGGAGCTCTTAAAAAATAGGAGCTCAGCGATTCAGAGGTAAGTTTAATTTTAAGAACAATGTGTGGTTTGCTTAGTTTTACATTAGCATTTTAGCTAGTGTCATCACTCTGATCCTTGCCCTAGCTCAAATTATGTCCTCTCTTTGCTAACGTTCGGGTAACAATTGAGGTACAAAAAAAAACAAAAACAAATTCCTGTCTGATAAAATGTTTTAATTTTGTATATTAATGGTCGACTCAACTTACTACCGCTGTATAAAATGAACCCCCTGACCCCGCACACTCTTAAAAACGGCGCAAATTGTCTCAAGATGGTTGTTCCTCATGAAAACTGTTTCCCTGCGTGATTATGTTTGGAGATATTGTAATATCTGAAGCGCCGAGTCAAGTCTCCCGCTTCGACTGTTAAGCCTCCACGACTCATCCTCACCCCCACCCTCGCTGACTGAGACCGGAGGAGCGCTTTGCTCCATCAGTGCACCCTCACTGTTCTCACGCTCTCCCGTGATTTCTAATCCAAAACAGGTATGGGTCGTGGGGTGGTGGGGGAGGGCCCTGTGTCTGGGGAAGGCGCCGCAGAAGCAACCACTGCTGCCTGATAATCAGACTGCTATTCTACGTTTTCCCACAAAAGAAGTATTAGTTTTGTTGGTGTGTTTAGTGGTTGAAGAAAAAGTAATAGAATTTTTGTTATTATTTTAAAAACTGTAAAGATCACAAAACAGATACCTTGCTGTAGTGTGCATTCCCTAATAAAACAGTTAAAAAATATAGAACTATGCATGTTCAGAGGACTCATACGTAATTTTTCAATTTACCGAATCTTTGAAATGCTATTTCTTCAGCTTAAAGAGCCTATTGGTGCAATATTTTTAGTGTGTGTGTGTGTGTGTGTGTGTGTGTGTGTGTGTGTGTGTGTGTGTGTGTGTGTGTGTGTGTGAGTGAGTGTGTGAGTGAGTGAGTGAGAGAAAGAGCGAGAGATATATAGTTAATAAATGTTTTTTCTTCCCTTTATCTTTCAGATAATGAAGTTGATGGTGACACAGTTAGTTGTGGTCTTACAGAGACAATGGTTGCATATCTTTTCCAAGGATCTTTCAAAAAGCAGGTAAAATTCAACCAGTTTGTGTCAAGGCTGAAAGAATCTGCAGTTACGCTGACTCTAGAGACTGACAACCATCTACTTCATCAGCAACATTATGGTCATTTTTGATTGTTTATCACAAAGATTGTATTTCTGAAGTCTGCATTTTAGTAGTTCTGTACTTTTTAGATTTAATTAGTAAACACAATCATTGTTTTTAACATATTTATCATGTTAATGTTGTGCAGTATATCTCAAAAATGAACACTTGCACATTTTCACAGCAATGAAAGTTCTATGAGAATGCCTGCTGCTTTTGAAATTCCAAGATTTCCTAAAAGTCTGCAGCTAAGACTGGACCACAAAGACCCATGCCATAAAAATTCATTGATGTATATAGCAAACAAAAAACTGCTGTAGTTGTTTTAGCTTACCGTAAATCCTCTAATACAGGCCCGGGCCTGTATTTGACTCAAACTCATCATGTGATGTTCCTGAGCCGAGGTGAGTGACATCACCCCCATCTCACTCTATCTGACTGGTTTTCCACAGGTGACAGCGGAGGGCGCCGCAGCTGCAGAACATCTCCAATCAGGGACGCGGGTATAAAAGGAGGATGGTGACACCTCATTACGCCGGATGATTGCTCCTGTAGAGGTAGTACCAGCCACTCGCCCTTGTTTTTGTGAACTCGTTACTCGAAGATAGGATATTTTGGATTATTGACCTTGGACCGCTCTGATTACTCTTTGGATTACCCTGAAACCTGGATGTTGTTTGTTCTCTCCAGAATCTCATTCAACCTGCCTCAACTCGCTGTTTTACTGACTGGACATTTTCACCACGTCCCATCCTCCTCCGCTGTGCCTGGTTGGATTCCTTCCGCTGTCTAACCTGTTTCCTCATCACCCCTGGACTGACTTGAGCTCACCTCGGCTTCCTCACCTCGTTCTCCCCGAACGTTTATGGACTCAAGCTACTGCTCACCTTCTCCACAGGACTTCCCTGTGCACCTTTTGTTCCAGTTAAATAAATAAAGACTTTAAGTTTTCCTACCTGCTCGTCGAGTCAGATTACTGCATGTCTTGGGTTAAAAACGTTCCACGAGACATGACACATCAAGCGACAGGCCTTTATTGGAAGGAGGACCAGAATTAGAGGCAGGCCTCAATTTCTATTTCAGCAAAATGAACTAATGGTTCGCTGGAAAATTGTGCCCACATTTTCAAAGTTAAACACATTTCTTTTAACAATGGTAGTTTCTGCTTCAGCCCTCTCCCCCCTCCTCCTGCTTCAGCCCTCTCCCCCCTCCCCCTGCTTCAGCCCTCTTCCCCTCCCCCTGCGCAGCGGCTGCAAACTCTGTGATGCGCCTGCAGCCTCTCGGAGTTCCTGCTGCTCTAAACATTAAAATAATTATTTCATTTTCTGTTCCTCACTTCTGATTACCTTCAGTGGTGTCTGTTTGTTGCAACCACCAGGTACAAAAACTAACTTGTTTTTATTTGACTATTTTTCTGTCCTGCCTGTTTATTATCTTCCTGCATCTCCTCTCAATCCTAAAGAAAAACCGCTACCTGGGTTCATATATATTCACCTTATGAGTTACCTTTGAACTGCAGTTCTAAAAGATCTACCGACCGCAAAAACAGCAGAGTACTCGCCGGCCACATCAGTTAGGTGCATCACCGAAAACGAAACAGGTGATGCGCCTCGATCCACAGCAGCGAAACGCATCAGGCACAAATAAAAGAATAAAAGACAGAAAACATAAAAGGAAATGAGCCGACATGAACAATCGCGTGTTAAATTAGTTTTTGAGGTGGCGACACCTGATTTGATAATGTTACTGTGGCCGTGCTCAGGACGCAGATGTCTGGAGCGCGTCAACAATCAGAGCTTTGCATGCACAAGCTGGTTACGGTTAGGATGGGGGTGAGGGGAATGTTAAATTGCAAGAGGGTAAAGGTCACAATTTGGTTAAATGTCTGTTTTACGGCGGGTGTCAGTACCGACGCTCTGGCACAGCGTGTTGCCTCCCGATGCGCAAGAGCTTGTCACCTGCTGACAGCAGGCTGCTGTCTTTTCCGAGGACTGCATCTTGCCGGTCATTATCACGTGACAGCGACTAGTCGATGACAGGCATAAAAAGTCACTATAGAGCGGTGAAGTCGACAAGTGACTAGTTCATACAACCCCTACTACTGCTCCCCAGAGTGTTCTGCAGCATAATCAGCACGTTCTCTTTGAACTTGATATCAAATTTTTGCCTCCTCTTTGTCTCCACACCTGCCATGGTTAAAGTTACCCTCGCGGTCTATCACTGGCAAATCAAAAGTGAGACGATGACACAACCGCCCCCTGTACTTGCTTGTTACCACATTCCACCCAGCCACAATAAAAAACCGGCCATTATTCACCTCCGCCGACTCCGACACCGGTCAAAATATGATACCCAGCAGTTAATTAAATACAGGCTAATATTAGAGGATTTACGGTATGTTTAATTAATTATTGTTTGCTTCTAGATCATTGCTGAATTATTTATGTCCATATTTCAATGCTATAATTTTATGATTAAATGCCATTCTGTAAGATTTGTTTTAATGCACACATTTTCTTTTCACTGTTGCTTCTTTTCTAGGGACTAAGTATTCAAGGGAGGACTTGTTGTCCATAGAGACTCACCCAAAGGTGCTGCATTGCCAGTATCAGAAGATGCAACCAGACATCATGGTGGTGCGTGACAGTATGCAGCAAACCTTTGTTTGGCGACGAAAAGAAATTGCAGATGGTATGGCTGTGGAGGGTGTCTTGAAGAAGTACCCATTCTTAGGAGTACCGAGTGGTGTAAGTCACGAAATCGCTGGCTCAGGTTACCAGTTGCTGGATGGATCCACCCCAGTGCATCGCAGAGCTGCAATTAACAGAAAAAATTTCAGTATTGAAAAATAACAGAGTAAAACAAATGGAATAAATAAAACTTGTTTAGAGTCCGATTGTTAATTAATCAAAATTTTCACAGTCACTAATAATATAAAAAATACATTCAGTGTAATTACAAAAAGGGAACAAGGGACAACAAGACATAATTTACAAGTGTATTTATGTTGGATATACAGAAAATTTCTAGTTCAACTTAAGTATCTGAAGAGCTCTCATCTATCGCACCAAAGGTGATCGATCTTGCTCGAGACAAATCTCCACTGTAGCAGCTCCACCTGGATGAAAAAGAGGATATTCTCACTGACGACTTACCAGGTACTTTTAGCTATTTATTATTTATCATTATATAAACCTGTGTGTGTGTGGTAACCCACACTGTCTGTTTGAAAAGCAGACAGTGTGGGTAGTTTAAGACTGTGGTCAAGAGGGTAACTTGGACTTTAAAATTGGTGAAGTTGTATGGATTTCAGAAATGTTGCTTTCTGAATTTGAATGTTTACAATTATAAGCATTTTGAAATGTTGGTTAAAAGGTATGGTTTTCATTTTTTCCCTTATCTTCTGCACCCTCTACCCTCACACTAACTGACTTCATACCCTCTTTCACCACATCCATGAATCTCCTTTCAGCCTCCTTCCTGACTGCTCCAACCTTAGCATCCTTCTACCGTTGTAATCATTGACTCTCCTCTGGACATGTCCAAACCATCTCAGTCTATCCTCAAACTTCAAAATCATCAAAGATGAGCCATCTCTCTGATGAACTCATTCCTGATCCTATCCATCATCATCCCTCCCAAAGAGAACCTCAACTTCTTGAGCTCTGTAACATTCAGCTCTGTCTTCCTGGTTTTTTTCTCGTGGATACTGTCTCTAAACTACACCCTAAGAAAAAATGCATGTAAAAAAGTAGTAGAATACTGGCAGCTACAGACGCCAGCATTTTACCGTTATTTTACAGTAACTATACTGTAAATTACTTTTACAGTAACTTACTGTTAAAGTGAATACAGTAGAGGTACTGTAAAAAACTGAGTTTTTATGAAACCTAAAATAAAAAGGATGACATGAAAAACATAGGTCTGAATGTTTGATTTACATTTTCAATGCTGTAACAGTTTTAAAGTATTTTACCGTTAAAGTAATTGTTTTAGTGAACATATAAATTTATAGTTACATACTGGCGTCTGTTGCTGTCAGAATGTTACTGTAATGAGTTTCATTACTGAATTTACTTTATAAGTAAACATCTGCGAAAATACAGTGCAACTGTACAATCACTAAAATAGTAAAAATGTTTTCTGGCACAGGGTGTAACACAAAAAGAAATGACCCACAAAAAAGTTATTGGTGCAGTTTTCAAAACGGGTAAGTTCTATGAAACATAAAATAAAAAGGATGACATGAAGAACATAGGCCTGAATGTTTATTTATAAACCAATATGCAACAATAAACCATATGCAGTTTTGTTCTTACAAATTAAATTAGAAACACGCATTTCCATGGCACAGGGAATAGTTAAAAAATTGGCCGCATAACAAATAAAATGTCCATGGCTGCAATTACGATTCAATAAAAAGAAGAAAAATGCAGATTGCAGTCTTTTACATTATCAGTTTTAACAATTCTAAGATTCAAAAAAATGAAAACTCTAAAGAAAATAACCTAATACAAATGCTTTGCTGAATCACTGGGTAAATGATAAGTACCCAATCATAACATTTTAACATGGCTACAGAAAAACATGCTTTATTATCCTGAACAGGATTATAAATAGTCAACAATGACTTTGTCAACAGGAGTGTCACTTACTTTTTGGGTGTGGATGAGGAAGCCATTCAGAAGGGAAAAAAATAAGACAAATATTATTAGAATATGAGTCTTTTAGAAACATAAAATAAACAACAGCAACTAACCTGCATGAAGTGCCACTCAAAGTCCATACGATTTTTTATCAGGGTAGAAACGTGCGCATTCACTGTCTGCAGTTTCTTTTGGATGGCCTTTCCTGTCTTTTTGGACACCACCTTTCCTTGGTAGGATTTTGTGCCTCTCTGGGTTAATCCCAATGAATCGCCTGAAAAAGAAAAATACGTCCAATATGAGAAAAACTTGAAGACTACAGTGTGTCACTTTCAAAGCAGCAAGTGCTTGTAAGAATAAAGGAATTCTTAAGCAGTACATCCTGAAATTACTCACACTACATAACTTTCTCCACATTTAGCTTTGTTCCAGCCTTTTTTCAAAATGGATTAAACTTTTTTCCCAAAAAACTCAATAAAAATCATCCTATAATGGCAACAAAAGTTTATTTGTTAGATTTTGCAACTTATTATGAATAAAAATAACTTAGAAATCAAATTTACACAAGTATTCACAGCCTTTGCTCAATAATTTGTTGATGGTTCTTCTACAGACAATTTCTTTGAGTTTTTGATTGTTTTATGCTCTGACATGTACTGTCAAGGATCTTATATAGGTCATGTCCAATCAACTGAATTTACCACAGGATGACTCCCGTTAAAGGAACACTTGGCAGTTTAGGCTTGTTTTAGCACTCCCTAGTGTCCATTAGTGAAACCAAAAGTAAAACTTATCTCCTTGCTGTGCGTTCGTATTTTTATTTTAACACCTTAATCTAACAGCAGGCAAAGCGCTGTGCCAGAGCGTCGGTACTGACGCCCGCCGTAAAACGGACATTTAACCAAATTGTGACGTTTCCCTCTTGCAATTTAACCTTCCCCTCACCCCCATCCTAACCGTAACCAGCTTGTGCATGCAAAGCTCTGATTGTTGATGCGCTCCAGACATCTGCGTCCTGAGCACGGCCACAGTAAAATCAAATCAGGTGTCGCCACCTCAAAAACTAATTTAACACGCAATCGTTCATGTCGGCTCATTTCCTTTGATGTTTTCTGTCTTTTATTCTTTTATTTGTGCCTGATGCGTTTCGCTGCTGTGGAGCGGAGCACATCACCTGCTTTGTCCTCCAATAACTTCACCTCACTGATGCGGTCGGCGAGCAGCGCGCACTCCGCTGTTTTTGCGGTCGGTAGATCTTTTAGAACTGCAGTTCAAAGGTAACTCATAAGGTGAATATATATGAACCCAGGTAGCAGTTTTTCTTTAGGATTGAGAGGAGATGCAGGAAGATAATAAACAGACAGGACAGAAAAATAGTCAAATAAAAACAAGTTAGTTTTTGTACCTGGTGGTTGCAACAAACAGACACCATTGAAGGTCATCAGAAGTGAGGAACAGAAAATGAAATAATTATTTTAATGTTTAGAGCAGCAGGAACTCCGAGAGGCTGCAGGCGCATCAGTGAGTTTGCGGCCGCTGCACAGGGGGAGGGGGGAGATGGCTGAAGCAGAAACTACTGTTGTTAAAAGAAATGTGTTTAACTTGGAAAATGTGGGCACAATTTTAATTGTCAAAAACTCCAGCGAACCATTAGTTCATTTTGCTCAAATAGAAATTGAAGCCTGCCTCTAATACTGGTCCTCCTTCCAATAAAGGCCTGGAGCTTGATGAGCTTGAGTCAAATACAGGCCCGGGCCTGGATTAGAGGATTTACGGTGTATATATATATATATATATATATATATATACTTACATACATACCCTTGGAAGGCTATTTCTGTACCCTTAAGGGTACTTTTCTGCACTTTAAATTAGGGGTACAAATTTGCTCCTCAAGGTACTTGTTTGACTTGTAAAAGGTACAATCTGCAGTGGTACAATTTTGTGCCCCCAGCTAACGGTACAAAATGGTACTCTTGAGGGAACCACCCCAGTGACAAGACATTCTACCCCTAAAGGTACAGTCCTGTCCTTTAATTTTGTGTGTGTAGGCTTCACTTCAGTTATTAGCTTACATCATACTCGTTTTATAATGTTAACCTTACATTAGTATCAAACAACAAAAATGTCTAATGAATTTGCATTTTAAAATGCAGTTATTTAAGTGTGCTATATTAATTCACCTATTTGAAAGTAATGTCTGAAGAAAGAAAAACTGAATTTTATGTAAACAATTGAAGTCTATTGTTCATAAAAATTGGAACAGATGTTTGAAATGCGAACTAAAAAATAAAACCAAATTACACTACAGAAAACAATACATCATTCATTTTCCATGTGTGACATAATTGTGTTTATATAATTTGAAGTTATGAAAAAATTTTCTGATGGTGTGTGGCCCCAAGCAGTCACTTACCTTGGGTATGCCTTGGGCTGGCTCTGCCTGTAATATAAAAGACCCATTTGATTTAAATGTTACCTTGCTTTTATTTGAAATGACATTATCAAAATGTTTTCTGCATTGACTTTCTAACGACCAATAGGAGTTTATTTTCCCATCAGTGATGACTTTGAATCAGTCCAGTGAAAGCAAAATGCACATGAGCTTCATTAAGCAGTGAAATAATCAACATGATACATTAACCATGAGCGGTTATGGTAATGGGGCTGAACACGACCTGTTATGCCAATGATGTCATTAATTAAGCTTATTACTTTAAGTTTTAATTAGCTGATCTTTCTGTCAATGTATTTGTCTTCACCTGGTTTGGCAACAAAATGAGCCGAAGGAATAAAAACTCATGATGTGCAACATCCTCTCCTGAGTCATATTTACAGTGCTTTCAATCAGCTCCTCCCCTGCTGGTTGAAGTACAGGTAAAAAAAACTATGTTTTCCTTTTGCCTATTTTTATTTACAAAAAAAAAAAAAAACATCTCCCCCTATTTAGTTGCCAGGCAACCAGAAGTTCACGGTGCATGCAGTTCTATGTAATGCTTCTTGTACCCAATGAGCTATCACAACTTCTGGCAACCCAAATGTGTGTGCCATGCTTAATCCTAGTTAAATAAATTTGGTAAATATCACTTTATCTTACTACGCATGTTCAAAGTGCTCCCATGGCACATAAAAACTACTTCTGCTAAATTTGTTATAAAACAACAAAACTGAAAATCAAGAGCCAATTCACAAGCCATGAAGCACAGGTCAGCAATGTCATGAAGTATTCTTCACTACGATGGATATGTGCTCAAACTACTCATCTTGAAAACAGAAAGGCTTGGAAATTATTGAAGAGCAGATTTCATGTTGATATTCCATTAGCTATGACTGGCCTTAGCACTAGACGTTGGGTTTGTGCTGTCTCGAACAAGCTGCCCACCCACAGATCCAACCCTGCTCCCTTAAATGTGTCGGTGTTGGAGCCCTCTGCCACAGCAGACCACTGTATCTCTCCGTCCACCCAGGAACACACTCATGGGACAAAAGCTTAATCCAAACTGCTGTCCAAATATGGAGCGGCATCTGAGAGGAATGTCTTGGCCAGATAACAGACAGCGGCCTCCAAGTACTTGAGGGGAGATGAATAAAAAAAACTTCCTGACCACACTGTTAACTGAATGTCATTGTAAAACAGCAGTGAACCATGTGATTGGTCAGCCGGCGCACAGCGTTTGTGCATTTCACACAGCTAATGATCACAATCACAATCAATTAATGTAAAAGACTCCCAATCATCCGGTCTAAGGTTATCACCCAGAGCGCTGTGCACGCTCAGCGAATTTGCAACTTGCAAAAATCCACAATACAAATCCTGAAAGTTGTGCAGCATTAAAGGATGGAAATAGACACACTTTCGTTCAATCCGTGGACTTTAAAGTTAAGCCAAAAATATATCAGCCCTTTAGCTGCAGATGGTCAAACTTAGTGTATTTATGAGGTCTGCTTTTAAAGCTTGGAGCACAGCAACGCTGGAACATTACAACTGTTACGCCATCCATGGTACAATGGAACACCATGAAAACGGCAGTTTTCCATAGAGATGTCTGGTGCTTATGTGAAGTTTAGAGGCAAAAATTTATCATCAAAGTGTCTAAGCTACTGTGGCCCGCACATTCAAACGGGCCAGTGAGGGGGTCAAAAAACTTTTGTTGAGGGACACAATCCGAAGACATCCAAGATGTTAAATGTTTGAAAAGGCAAGCGTTATCGTGTGTTAGTGACGGGCTGCCCACAAAATAACCTACATCATTGCTACGTTGTACTGACAACAGCTTGAGACAGAATAAGAAAGTCTCCTTTCTAGTCAATGGAACCCAAGACCGAGACCGTCCGGTTACTTCTCATCAAAAGAAATCGTGGCAGACTGAATCCCACTAATCCATCTTCACTAGAGTTCAGAGGAGTTTTACAGCCTTTGCGGGTCACTGTGTCCTCACCCGGGAATTAAAGAGCAGAATGAATGTGTTGTGATTTGAATACAGAGGAGCTTGTATAAGAAACAGCTTCTTTACCAAAGGTTTCTCTTCAAGCCAGCTTTCTGTAGGCTGAGAAAACGTAACTTGTTTGCAGTTGATACATTTTCAATTTAGGATTTCTTTAGATTCCTGTCATCATTAAATTAAAGCCCGAAATCTTGTATTTTTTAGGTTCAATTAATTAGTTATCAAAGGAAACCAAATAACTGACAATGATTGTTGAAATCAAAATACCCCCCCCCTCCCTAAATGTATATATATATATATATATATATATATATATATATATATATATATATATATATATATATATATATATATATATATATATATATATATATATATATATTGGGGGGGGGGGGGTATTTTTTAATAAATCATCTCATCACTGAAAAAAGCTATAAATTTTCCTTTAGAAATTCAAAGATCCTTTATTATTCCCAGAGGGACAGTTACTGTTTATGAGTATTCAGAGAAAATTGAAGCTGTGGTCTGCAGCATCGACTGTGACGCATGCCAGGATGTCGGTGTCTGTGCTACTTAAAAAAAAATTTATTAACAACTTTCAAACAAACTATTATTTAACAAAATTGACATTCTCTGCTGTCCACATTAATTCTTAATCTAAAACATTCATAGCATGAATAAATATCATTAATCATCCTAAAATGAACTTCTTTCATTTTGGGCAAATGATAAAAATTTGGTTCTAATAATAAAGAATAGATTTTCCATAAACATTCAGAATGCTATTTTTTCCTGACCGAATGGAGAAAGGGGTCGATTGCTGGCGGATCATAACACCACACAAACCAATACAATGTAATCAAACACCAATACACACCAGCACCGTTCCTACCCCTCCAGCGTAAATGTGACAGCCGGACCGGGGGTGCTGGCGGTTCGGGGACCACAAAGGAGGCCCACCTATTGAGTACCGCTGGGCTAAGACAACAGTAACAGAAGGTTGAACACTACACTAATCACTCAGCTCCAATACACAAAAGATAAATTAATTTTCATTAGCTAGAAGTTTACAGACGTTCACTCTTTACACAAGACTAGAACAGAAAAAATGTTTTTCACATCCTGTTCATTTAGGATAAGATTTGTGAAGCGCACAGATCTTGACACATTCCCATGTACCGACCCACGGCTACGTAAGATCATGTCAGCAGTTGCTTGGGTTACTTTTTGATTGCTATTCAGAGTCCAGATCTTGTCCTGTATCATTTTCCTGTTTTTTTCTACATAAACCAACTTAAAATTTAAAGCGATAATGTGTAATTTTTACAGTTAATCTCTGGAAATATACATAACAATGTTGTTGTAAATGAATTAAATTATGCCCATTTGTTGAAAATTTTTTGGCAGCCTTGTAACATATGACCATAAAAACTGGGTGTAAAATATAAGGAAGTGTGTCTAAGGGTGTTTCTCAAAGCCAAGGGACCTTGCCTTGATGTCTTGGTCCCTCCCCTGTTGCCTAGGTGATACATCATCAGGAACCACCAAGTCGTGTTCCAATGTTCATGTTCTACCCAGGTGTCTGTTCTCCGTTTGTTAGCTGTTTAGCTAGCTAAGTGAGGATACACAGGAGGTGTCTTGTAGCCTAGTCTTGGACAAAAATGTCCCAGAATACAGCATGGTATTTTCAAAAGGATGGTGGATCAGGAGCCGGCAGCTACATCGGGGCAAATTCCAAGTTTAAATGTAAGTCAACTAATTGTAGCTATCGGTTGATATCTGAAATGTAATTTTTTTATATCCATGCAGTTATCTATGGTTGGTTGGTTGCTTAGTAGTTGCAGCTTCGATGGCCAGCAGATAGTAACTTGCTTACATATTTTTTAACCAATTTAACCAATACATATACAATTTAAAAATAAAAAGCTTGTTATACATTTATATTGAAACGTATACACATAAAATATAACTTTACCTCTCGTGTCACGTGACGTTACGTGATGCAAGTATGTTCCATTTAACCATTTTCTTTGACCAAGGAAGGACAGTGTCTTCAAAGGCAAGGCGCCTGGCCTCGCAAGGCGATGTCTTGCGAGGCACCTTCACATTGAGAAACACCCTAAGTCTCTGGGCAACACCATGGTTCCTTCTGCAGGAGCCAAAGACAAAAAATATTTACAGATTTGTAACAAACGATTACAACATTTTCGCCATTCATAAACGTTGTTTTACACATTTACCTCTTGACTCATTGCCCGTGATGAAAGAGCGTCTAATGTACCTGTAATTTTGCTGGAGGATGCGCTCCCAGGGATTTTTGACCCTAATGGCCATCAGTTGGTAAGGTCTTACTCAAGCACAAAAATACCACTTGCTTGCAATGATTTAGGTATGTACTGCCCCTTATTGCCAGGGAAAATACACACAGTCATTTTAAACTACTGACTCGTAGTCTTTTTCAGTTTTTTTTCTACTCAAAGTACAAGCCATAAGGTTTGAGTTAGTTTCTCTGTATGTCCTTCCTTTGGGGAAAAAGAACCGAACTGCAGTCACCGACGGACTGGACTCTACGGATCCAAAAACAGCAATATCAATTCAATTCAGGTCAAGTTAGCACTGAGGCTCGGTTGGTGTGCTAAGCCGATGGAGGCCACAATGCATGCTGGGAACTGGGGCGCATTCTTGTTTATTGATAGCTCCCTTTTTTTTTCTTTGCTCTAAGCTTGCATACATTATTTGTTTTGTAGAGGTCGGGGGGGGGGGGGGGGGGGGGGGGGACTTATAGGGGAAATATAAATGATCAAAGATTACCTACGTTTTAGTCATAGAACAGGGCCAGATAGACAAATGTAGGCATTTTATTTATTTACAATACTTCTAATGTACCCCAGCATTGACTGTCATCAGCTTACTTTCTATCGTCTTTGTCCCAGCTTGTTGATTTTCTTGACTACATCAATAAAAAGACAAAAGTCATGTTTAAACAATCTAACAACGAGAGGATCTGTTGCATTCTAAAGGAAGCTCGTTTATTCAATTCAATGAGTGAGTGAAACGAGAAAATTAACAAACTGAGTCACACAGAAAAGCAAAGTGAAATAAATCAGACGCTGGTTTCAACAGAGAACCTGCATGTTTACATTTCAAAGGATGAATAATGCTTCTTTCTTTTGAGATGCAACTTAAACACATAAAAAGGAGATTTTGTTTCTAAAGCATCCGCATTCCCAAGCAAACCTAATGTAGCTGCAGCTCACATCCACTTTTTCAAGGCAATAATCAAGTTAGCACAGACATAATCACGTTATTGTGTGCTCTCTTTTTCTCTGCAAATTTACATGCAAGGCAGTTGTTGCAAAGGTACATTTTATATACCCCTCGTGTCTTATTGAACTCTCCTGAAAAAAGGGGAAAAAACACGAGAGGTGTCTGAATCCAGCTGCTATTGTACTCCTCCCACACATACACAGACATTGATTATGATTATATAGTGATTATGCATTCTGCATGCCAGCCACACAGCAGAAGAGTGGAGGGGCGCATTAAGGGGCTTGGCGACTGTGGGACCCCCTGCTGAGATGAGAGGGAAGGTAAGAGCCAAGGAGAGGGGAGTGTGGAGAAGGCTATCCAATCGGATCTGCTCTGGGAACAGGACCAATCATGACTGCTGCTTAGGGGCTCTGTTGCTCCCTATTTTTGTCTAATACCCCCTTTTTTCTTCCATCTCTGTCTTATTTACTTATCTCTTTTAAAAAGCTCTTTCCTTTAGCTCTTAGTCTGACTTTTTCACCGCTATCTGACTCATAAATCATGTGATTGGGCTTCGTATAACTCTTTTACCTCTCTGCGCTGGAGCACACACCTCTGATATCTCCCTCCCTTCAACACTTTCCTCCTTGGGGTTTCTGATTCAGTGGCCACCCTGCTTTACACAGTCCACTCGCCTCCGTCAGAGTATTATTCCGTATGCAGTCACTAAGGAGATACACACACCATCCATCACAATGTACAAATTCTCGGTGCACAGATTTGGTCGAGCCCTAATTAAAAAGCCTTTCCACTCGTTTTCGTGAGAGATAATTAGACTTTCATCTCACCAGGATGCCACAACCACAGATTCATTCTCTTCTTCCAGGAAACCTATAGGAGAAAAAATAAATTTAGGGTGTTTAACCGCTCTCCCTCAGGGCACCAGTCAATAATTAAAGATATCGTTATGCATTTCTTTCTTTTTTATTTTTTTATTTTTATTTTTTTACAAAAGGAGCCTGCCTTGAGTGGAAAAGCGTGAAAATACTAATATCTTAAGTTGTCTGTGAAAATGAGATTAACTCGTTGGAGAAGTTTTCTTTAAAGGAACAACCAAGGTTATTGTCTTAATGGAAGGCTGAACATTATTGTTTTAAATTAAACAAGCCAACGCAAGGCCCCCACGTTACGCTGCCACTGTTGTGTGTTTCTGATGTGAGCTGGGAGGCCATGGCGCTTTGGGCCCGATAGGAGACAGCTGGAAGGATTGAATTATTGAAGAGCATGGACCAGCTCTGAAACACGGGCCATGTCCTCCCAGCTGCTCCGTGTGCTGAAGCCGACACTTCAGCAGTTGTCACACGTGTGCAGCTAACAGGGTCCATCTGTTATTGGGGCGTAATGAACGCAGACATAGCCACGAAGAAATGAATCACTGCCACTTTATTAGTGTATCACAATGGTAATGAATGTGCCATCCGTGAAGTCACAACGGTAATAATTATGTTATTTGTGATTATAATGACAATTAGAATGCAGACGAGGGAAGTGGAAATGATGGTGAAGATGAAGGTGATGTGTGTGTGTGTGTGTGTGCTATGACAGCGCACAGATACGTGAATTGGAAAAATGAACATGGAGAGAACATTCACATTTGTGCTCATTATGCATGCATGGAGCAGGAAACAATTTGCATGGTAGCACTGGATGCAGGGACCTGCAGGCTTGAAGAAAAATAACAAAACATAAAACTCACTGTAGCTATAATCGCTGGCAGTCTCATGTAAACACCTGCCATAAGGAAAACTCATCATTCTAATGTACAACAGGCCAGCGTTGAAAGGCGTGCTGAGTGCAACCTCCAAAATCAATAACCAGTGTGCCTTTCATTACATAAGTGAGATTTGTATTCATCTCAGAGATATATATTTATCCCACTTATACCCTTGGTCTAGGAGTAAATTCATTTAGTAATGATTACCTGACTCAGGTAAAACCAATTTTCATT